CTTCTACTCAGCCGCCTCCTGCTCCTGAGCGCCCTGCCTCTGTGGCTCGTCGTGAGCCATCTCCCTTATTCCGCATTTTGCGGAGTCTTTTTGGTCTTTGCTCCGCGGAGGCCAAAAAGAACCGCCGATTGCGGAATTCGGCGAAGAAGACGGCTCGTGATGTCAAGTTCCTAAAGGCACGGTATTATGAGGACCACCACATTGATATCCCTCCTTCTCCTCTGGGTTTCGAGGCCGAGCCCGATGAGCCAGAGGATGAAGAGATTGAGGATCCTTTTGCCGGGTTGCCTTCCGACTTCGACTTCTTTGGATATGGCCATGGCTATGGCTAACCTCCTCCACCACCTCTCGAGGACCCTCCTCAGGCGCCCTTCGCTTGAGTCGTCAGCTCATTGTCCTCTCTTTTTGGTGTCTTGATGCCAAAGGGGGAGAATATCTATCATGGCTTTAGTTTATCTATCTTGTCCTTAGCGTCGAGCACTGTTGGTTTTTATCTGTATGAGACTTTTGTGTTTTTTATGTTAAGTTTAAAGCTTTGTAAGACTATTGTTTAATTATGAATGCTTGTGATGTAATGGATCTTTTTATCTTTTAAAGTGGTGCAATGCCTTACCCTCTTTATATGGTGCTTGTGATGAGATGTAATTATTCCTTTGCATGCGATGTGTTGGATGTAATGAGCATATGTGATATATTTGTTCTCTTGTGAGCTTCAATGTGGATGCAATAATTTAGGGGGAGCTCTCTACTTGCTTTTATGCACACTCTTAGGGGGAGCTTCCACTAAAACTTTGTACCAAAAACCTTAAATTATATTCATTCTCTCTTGTGTTCTAATCGTATTATCATCAATCACCAAAAAGGGGGAGATTTAAAGTGCATCTAGGCCCCTAATGATTTTGGTGATTAATTACAATGCAATTAGAGAGGACTAACATTTTTATGTAAGCAAATGTGAAGGTTGTTATGTCCTCAATGAGTTAGCGTAATGCATATCCCGCCGAATACGTTGATGTGATGTGATGCGGCAAATGAGCAAATGGTATGTTGTACGTTTTCGTTTTCTTGAGTTATTAGGAAAGCCGCACTATTAAGAGGGATGATGCATTGACTTACGAGGAGTGATCAAAGTGCTGAAAATCTTTTTTAAAAAAGTGTTTCTCCTCAGTTTGGTGTGTTCTGGATTTTTTCGGAGTTTTCCAAAACTCATTTTCGGACTTTCCGAAAACACACAGAACCAGATTTTCGCTTCTGGAAATTTTCGGATATGTCCGAAAGTGATTTTCGGACTTTCCGAAAAAGACTGCGAAGGAAAAAGTGGTTCTGTATATTTTCGGACTTGTCCGAAACTGATTTTCGGATTTTTCGAAAATCATTAGTAGAGTCAATTTCGCTTCTGTATATTTTTGGACTTGTCCGAAAGTTATTTTCGGACTTTTCCGAGAACATCCAGAACGATGTTGTTGGTACTGGAAATTTTCGGACTTGTCCGAAAAGTTTTCGGAATGTCCGAAAAATCCTTCGTTGACTTTGCTGTTGGTGCTGGGCTGGAATTTTCGGACATGTCCGAAAATCTTTCGGAATATCTAAAAATCTCAATTATTGTACATAACGGGCAGAATCTGGGCTGTGGCTATAAATAGCCCCCTCCCCTCACTTGTGAGGGCTGCTGGTTCCATTCGAATCATTTGTGCCCTTGGCTTGCTCTCTCTCTAGCACTTTTGAGCCTTGCTTTCTTGTTTCCCCTCTCACCCGTGTTCGATTTGGATTTGGTGTGTGTGTGAGAGTTGTGGATTCGAGTTTGTGTGAGTGCTTGTTGTTGACTTCGTGAAGATTTGTGAGCACTTGCATCATCTACGGGAGTTATTTGCTTCATTTGTTACTCTTGGAGGTTGAGGACTCCTAGGCGGCTAGGTGTCGCTCCCGAGCCACCGATCTACTTGTGGTTGGCCGGGAGAAGTTTGTGAAGGTCGGATCTCACCTCCGAAAGGGAAGAGATACCCTTAGTGGAAGGAGGAGTGCTTACTGCAACCTCTTGAGGAAAGGGTTAGCTAAGACCCGGCTCTTAGTGAGCTCCTCAATGGAGAGTAGAATCCCCTCAAGGATTCGAACTTCGGGAACAACCTCGTGAGCTTCATCTTTGGTGACTTTACTTCCTCCCTCTCCACTAGCTTTGCTTGTTTGAGCCGCTATAGGTCTAGTTGCTGTTTGTGCTAGCATATTCTTGTTGTAGGCAACTAGATCTAGGATTTACTTTGCTGTTTGTGCTGACTCCGAAAATTTTCGGATATATCCGAAAATTTCGGAAATATCCGAAAATTACTGCTTCCGCTTTTAGTTGTTTTTTGAATTAGCCTATTCACCCCCCCTAGGCCTAATTGACACTTGTACATGTGTCGTCCCATGTACAGGTATGGCTAAGTCTGTGCCCATTGCGGTGCGTTTGTACCATCTTAGATATTCTTTTGTGCCAGGAAATTGTTTTAAACCCTCGAGGGAATATTGTCTTATTTTCTAAAGACCATCCAAATAGTTATGAAATTCTTTTGAAAAAAAAATAACAACAGTAATGCAATGTAAATATCACTTCAGAAAATTTTAGGTTCAAATTCAACTCATATATTGAGATATAAGAAAAAGGACAACTTTGGCAGATCGATAATAGTGGTACTATTTATATTCGAATTTATCTCTTCTTTTTCAGTGTTTAGGTTGAATTTGAAATTGAATTTTGGTGGAGTTCTAGACGTCACTTACTCTACAAGTCTACATTGTCAAGAAAAAAAATATTTTTTTATAATTATTTGCATTGAATTTATAAAAAATAAAAGGTGTATGAGGGATATTCACTCTCCATTCCCTTTTATGCCTTAATTATTTATCGTACATTTCTCTTTTTACACGATTTGTATATAAATATGATATAGGTTGAATTTATCGATCATTTTCACCTCATATGTATTTTAAAGTTGTGTTCGTGAATATACGATAAGGGATTCTGACGCTAAGGCCACGTGATGATGACGGAGTGACAATTGGACGAATGCAGCGACGGTGGTGGAAGGAGTGAAGGTCATTACGATGGTGGAGGGATGAACAATGATGGATCAAAGTAGTGTTTAGCAACGTTGCAAAATTATCTTATCTGCTGGGACCACCATTAATGACACCTTGCTGCCGTGCCATCGCATTGGCTGCCTAATTACGGTTGCTTAATTTCATCCAAATCGGATCCATCGCTCACATAGCTTGGGATTTGGGAACTGGAGTTGGGGCCAACATATGGTCATATGCCCATCCACATACAGTTGCAAACATATGCTCTCTGATTTCCTGCCTGGTACGCGTCTACAAGACAAGCTTGTGCGTGGGTACACAAAAACAAGATGCTGCTTACCATTGTACGGAACGGAGGTTTATGACAGGTAAACGTCGCGTGAGTGAGAGGACATGGAGCTAATCCCTGACGTTAACACATTTGATTACTACTCCATATTACTTTTACTGTTTTAAAATATAAAGCTTTTAAGTTTTCTAAGGTAGCTTTAAAATAAAGTTTTGAATATCAGTATATTTACTCCCTCCGTTTTAAAATGTTTGACACCGTTGACTTTTTAGTATGTGTTTGACCATTCGTCTTATTCAAAAAATCTAAGTAATTATTTATTCTTTTCATATTATTTGATTCATTGTTAAATATACTTTCATATATACATCTAGTTTTACATATTTAACAATTTTTTTTTGAATAAGACGAACGGTAAAACATGTGCTAAAAAGTCAACGGTGTCAAATATTTTAAAACGGAGGGAGTATTTTACTATGAACGTCTATAAATTTGGTATGACATGAAAAGTACATTTAAATATGAATGTAACAATGTCACATGGCGCTACACATATAAATTATTGAGTAAAGTACACAGCCAGTCCTTAAAATTGGAGTAATGTGTCATTTAGATCCATGATCTTAAAAAATCAACATTAGGGTCCACGATCTTGTTTAAATGACTCATTGAGGTCCTGGAGCTCTGATCGGGTTGACTGGCTTACGTGGCCATCCAAAGTGGCAGAATATTCCCCCCCCAACCCCCCCCCCCCCCCCCCCCCCGCGCCCGGCGGCCGCCCACATTTTGGCTTTCCCCGCTTCCAATCCAACCCTTATCCCCCAAATCTTCTTCTTCTACCACGAGCCCAGCTGCCCCCCCCCCCCAAGTGGAAGCCCTCACCTACTCACATAGCTAGGAGTACTCCGAGAGAGGGCGGCGACAACAACGCTGGCGCCACAGATGACGCCGAGTCGGGGTTCGTTTCAATTTCAACCAAATTTCAACTTTTCCATCACATCGTTTCAATTTCAACCAAATTTCAACTTTCAACTTTTCCATCACATCGTTTCAATTTCAACCAAATTTCCAATTTTGACGTGAACTAAACACAGCCAACTTTTCCATCACATCGTTTCAATTTCAACCAAATTTCCAATTTTAACGTGAACTAAACACAGCCAATTTTAATATTAAATCACCCGTTCTACAGTACTTCTGACCGTCCTCTCTGCTACACGTACTGGCCTGCTGTATTGATTATCTCCTCTGGAATTTTAAGGAATTTGATTATCTCAATTTTCAAACTGAGGAATTTTAAGGAATTTTGTGAAACTAATTTAATTATGTAGAAATTCCTGTATTGATATCCGACAAGAGCTGAGAGCACACATATATATTTAATATTAAATCTAGGGAACATGATATATACTGGTAAATATTTGTTATAGTAACCTATAAATGTTTGTTCACACCAGCTAATATATCATTTCAATAAAGTAGGAACATGTATTAATCTATAAAAAAACCCCAAAAATAGTGGTGAGTAGTGAATGTGTGTCACCACCCAGTACCCACCATCACTGCCATGTGGGTCTTCCAAACAATAAGGTACATGGAAGTTTGCCTCTTCTCCAACCTCAAGCCATCGAACAGAGAAAATTTCTTTAGAAGCTGGGTAAAAATGATGACAAATAATATTACCAAAAGATTTTACAATGAGAATAATGCCAATAGACAATAGAATGTCACAGACACGGTAATAAAAATGACGGTAGGCACATAATAAATAATTTAATTACACTAGCTAGCAGTGGCACATCCGAAAAACCAACATGAAATAAAAGGAAAATAAGAGAGGAAAAGAAAAGGCAAGCAGAAAGCTAGCTCATCACTTTATTCCAGAAACGGTACAGTGTAGTGACTCGCTAGCGCTCCTTCCTCGGGTGAAATAATGTCGTCGGTGCCTCAACCGTGCAGCCAGCAAATGCTCGGTCTCCAGCGATCGCCGTCACTGGTTTGTCGCTGGTGGCATGTGCGGCGGCTTGTGCTTGTTCGGCGGTGCTATAGGTTTCGGTCCAGGCTTAGGTTCAGGTTTCAGTTTAGGCTTTGGTTCTGGGTATGGTTTAGGCTCTGGCTTTGGTTCGGGCTTAGGCTTTGGTTCAGGTTCAGGCATCGGATGTGGTTTTGGCTCCGGGTGTGGCTTGGGCTCTAGCTTTGGGTCAGGTTTAGGCTTTGGTTTTGGTCCTGGGTGTGGAATGGGCTTCGGCTTCGGCACCGGTTTAGGTTCCGGTTTTGGCTTTGGATATGGTTTAGGCTCTGGTTTTGGTTCAGGCTTTGGCTCGGGCTTCGGTTCAGGCTCTGGCTTTGGCTCTGGTTTTGGTTCAGGTTTAAGCTTAGGCTCAGGCTCTGGGTGTGGCTTTGGCTCAGGCTTCGGGTGTAGCTTAGGCTCGGGTTTCGGCTCAGGCTTTGGTTCTGGGTGTGGTTTGGGCTCCGGCTTTGGTTCCGGTTTTGGTTCAGGGTGTGGCACTGGCTTTGGTTTGGGCTCCGGTTTCGGTTCTGGGTGTGGCTTAGGCTCTGGCTTCGGCTCGGGTTTGGGCCCCGGTTTTGGCTCTGGCTTTGGCTTTGGGTATGGCTTTGGTTCTGGTTCTGGTTTTGGTTCAGGTTTATGCTCAGGTTTTGGTTCTGGCTTTGGCTCCGGTTTGGGCTTTGGCTTCGGCTCTGGGTATGGCTTTGGTTCTGGTTTTGGTTCAGGCTTAGGCTCAGGTTTAGGTTCTGGATTAGGTTTTGGTTCTGGCTTTAGCTCCGGTTTCGTCTCTGGCTTCGGCTCTGGGTATGGCTTTGGCTCCGGCTTAGGTTCTGGCTTTGGCTCCGGTTTTGATTCATGCTTAGGATGAGGCTTTGGCTTTGGCTTCGGCTTCGGCTCCAGCTCTGGCGGCTTCTCGTACATCGCACGGCCCTGCTTGCTCATGAAGCGGGCGCCATGGCCGAGTCCCTGGCCAGCTGCCGCCGCTTCATCAACTAAAGCGCTCGCCACCGCCAATGCCCCAAGCAGGAGCACGGCGGCAGTGAGGCAAGGAGAGCGCCTAGCCATGGCTGGCAAGCTAAGCTCCTCCTCTTCGCTTATCTTCTTCTCCCTCTCTCACTTCTGCTGTTGTACGTAACTGAACTGTGAGCTTGTGCCAGTGGATGGAAGGATTGCTGGGGTTTTATAGCCCGGGAAAGCCAAACAATGCAAGCAGGTGTGGTCACATGTCTCCATGGCACCCTGCTTTTGTGATCTCTAGCTGCTTGCCAGATCTCACCTAGTATCATGCCTGCCTCCCTTCCAAATCTGACTATTTTACTCTTCTTCACTTTTTACTAACTGCTAACCCTACTTTTTCCTAATTAATCAGCACCTGTTCTGATTAATCAATCGGTTACTTGTTACTTTAATGTATGACTAGACAATTAGTCTTTTGTTGGAACACATGAATTTTATACAGCTTTGGTTAGAAACTGAAGTAGTAGTAATTGGTACGAAAAGCAAGTAAAATTGTTTGAGTCATATTCAGCAGCGGAGCCCGCACGGCAAACAAACAGGGGAAATGGAACAAGTGCGTAAAATAGCTTAGGCTAGGTGCAGCAGAAGCTAGCATTGCAGGAGCAGGAGATGGACGGACGGATCGATCGTCAATGGACATCGCCGGTGGTGGGTCGCCGGAAGGACAGCAGCCAGAAACATTAACGTGGGTGAAAGTGTCCGGCCCTCGCGGCCATTGGGCCTGTTCTGCGGCTGCGTCGTAGCCGACACCAACAGTGCCGTGCGCACACGACGCAGCCGTAGCCATGCCGAACAGGCCCATATTATCTTGAGAATTGCATCGAACTGAACACATTAGATTTTTTATACACTATATTAACATCGACACTGAGTAATTTAAATGATAAATATGATCAATTACGGACCGATCCAGCGTTGTTTTTGAAAAGATGCTACCGTCCGTTTTCAGCTCTAAGACTACCCGCCAGACAGAATCTCCCACGGCTTCTCCTCTCAAGAAAAAGAGTATTGGTCCACAGGCCATACCCACTCTCGGCCCAATGTCTCTCCTTTCTCTTCTCCTCCATGTTGGGCTTACGCGGCTGCGTGAATGTTTGCAGGCCATGCATGCAAATCAGCCGACAAATAAATAAATTCAGCATGTCATTGGTGGTACGCTATCTTTTCTTGAAATATTCCTCTTTAGGCCTCGTTTAACCCCATAAAAAATGATTGAAGTAGATTTAAGGGATTCTACACCATAACAGGTACGGTGCACAATTAACCCTTTCCAAATCTCCCTCAATCGTCCTGAGTGGGGCACGTAGGCGTTCAAATAAACACGTCCACACACTCACCCATATATGATATATATGAACGTGTACACACCTTATTTGCTATAAGCACCTTTGAAAACTAGATCAACATATCTTGATATTTATAAAACAACCGTAAGCACGTTGTTGGTGATGGACGCCGTCTATTACTGAAAAAATAATTAGTCATAAATATGTGTAACTGTGTCAAGTCTATGACTTAAATTTTTAGTAGACATGTTACACCACCATTAACCTAACCAGTTGAGTTATTCTCATTTCGCTGCCTAACTTAAAAGATGGAGCCGCGCGTTGATAAATCCACGATAGTACGCTATAGATAGCCACTCTAGTATATTTATTAATAAATTATGCATGAAGTAAGCTACCCCTAATAATTTAAAAGAGATATATAATTAAAATAAATTGAGATGAAATATGTGGCTTTGTTGGGTTGGATGCACCAAAAAATAAGTAAGAAAAAGGAAGAAAGGAGTACAACCTAGTGTTGGTAGACTCCATTACGCGTCCAAAGCATGCATGTGTCTGCCATGTTATCAACAAAGACACACATGACACTTGGCAGAGTTAACACGGCATGATGGGATATGTCACATATGGCATCCGATTCCAGAAGAGAAAAAAAAGATGGTAGTGTTAGGTGACAAAGATGGGGAAAGAACGAATTAATAATTAGGAAAAACTGTAGATGCCTTGCAGATCGAGGATACAGTACACATGATCATCGACTTGGACTGATGAGCAGCAGCAGCTGGTGTGCATTTCTCTCGTGCCTCTCGTCTGTGTTTGAGAGCGAGCGACCAACAGTTAAAAATGGATTAAGTTAGACTGTACTGTCTCAATTAATTCAAAACGCGCGTTTGATCAGTATGGGAGAACCTTTATCTGCTTTCCCGGTAGTATATATAGCTAGGTTGCTAGTTAAAGTGAATTTCACCAGACTTTTCTTTTTAGATAATATTTCACCTGACTTTTTAGTTCTGAAAAGGTATATGGCTGATCGTGCCATCTCAGCGAAGAGAAGAATTTTGGAAAATGCATATGCCATCGCGATCATCCTCAATCTTTACTATCATACCCTTATTCCGCGCTTTTCCTCGAAGGAAGTTGAGATATATTATTCACGAAAAATATATACTCCTTTCATCCTAAAATATAGTAACACTCATTCATACGTGAATGGCAAACCTGAAGTATTGACACCGTTGTTTGTGTGTTCCTAACCAGGAAAGTGTGGAGCTGACTTGAAGAGGACGGCACGGTAGAGGGTAGAGCCTTCTTAATGATGCGCCCTATGACCATAGTATATGAGAAGGCGACCGACATAATTATAATATGTGGTAAGGAATAAATAGAGGACGGCATCACATGAACGAGTAATAAACTAGGAAATAACCAAGGTAGAGACGGAAGCACCCATTGGAAGGGTGAGAGGTGAGTGGCCAAGCTATGAGCTCATGACACCCCATACCTAGAGACCGGGTCTATCATATTAATCAACAGCCAACCATTAACTCATCGAATCAATCAAGTATTTTCACTACTACGGGAAACTAAACCGGTCGGTTGAGAACCTTGCATAGGTGCCGGTTTTCATAACTGGTACATAGTAGACGACACAGACGAGAGAAATCAAAGGTGTCAGTTTTGAAAATGGCACCTTTGAGGTCCCAAGAATAAAAAACAAAAGAAACTCGATGCATCGGCTCAAATCCCAATCACCCATAAGATTTCCATCTAAGAACAAAATCACAGAATTAAGAACAAAATCAACATTCATGAACAAACATCTAAGAACACAATCACAGTATCAAGAACAAAATGAGCGTCCATGAACACACACAAAGAAGATACCATCGTTGCTGTTGTTGTCGGGCGGGCCGCCCCTGTGCCGCTCTTCCTCCTTGTCATGGTGGCCAGATCCAGCTGTCGTTGAGCTCTAGGCGGCTGGATCTGGCGGTCTCTACCTCCAAGCGAGAGAAACCACCGCCATCCCAGCGACGGTGAGGGGAGGAGGAGTTGCAGCTCCGAAGAGGCGAGGAGAGGGGAGGAGAGGGAAGCACCAGAGCCAGAGGGGTGGCGCCCCATAGGAGGCTAGATGGCCGGCTGCTGAAGAGGGAGGTGAATAGAGCGGGCAAGAGAGAGGGAGGTGAAGGGCGAGAGAGTGGATAAGGACATGCTCCCCCTCCCTTTGCACTAAAAAACTGGTACCAATAGTATTGGTGTCGACTTTTCTCTAGAACCCACACCTATAGTTGCTTAAAAGTGTCGACTCTATATTTTTTTTTGGTTCCATGAAGGTGGGAAAAGCGTCAATTTATGCTAGTTTTAAATTGGGAAGAAAGTTTGAAATACACCCTTGATTATTGGGTGAGTACAAATTAACCCCCCTAAACTTGAAAATCAGACATCCTTGACCCTCAACTATCAATACCAGATGAATTATCCCCTAACTCAATTCGGCGTGATTTTGGTTTCACGTTGTTGTCCCATCAGCAAATCTTTTTTTTAAATCAGTGGGGCCCACATATCAATCTCTCACCCTCTCTCTATCCCTCACCTATCTATCTCTCTATACTCTATCTCTCTGTCTCTCTCTTTCAAATATCCTCTCTCTCTTCTCCCTCCCTCACCTTCATCTCTCTTTATCAAGGACAGCGGCGGGCGGAGCTCAGGACGGCGGACAGGACTGGCGGAAGGCGGAGCTTGGGACAAGCAGCGGCACCTCTAGCTCTCCGTCACCGAGAGGCAGCGGCAGAGGCGGAGCTCGGGACGACGGAGGGGACGGGCGGAAGGCAGAGCTTGGGACAAGCGGTGGCACCTCTATCTATCCATCATTGAGAAGCAGTGGCGGAGGGGGAGCACGGGAACAGTGGCGGGCGGAGCTCGGGGCGAGAAGAGCTCGAGACGGCGGAGGGGACGGGTGGCAGGTGAAGCTTGGGACAAGCGGCGGCACCCCCCCCATCTCTGTCACCGAGAGGCAGCAGCGGAGGCGGAGCTCGAGACTGCCGAGGATGGTGAGCGGCAGAGGCGGCCATCTTTCTTTTCCCTCCCCTTCTATCAATTGGTTTGGACGACGAGAAACGGAGTTGGCGCTGCATAGTGGGGCATGTCACGCCCTGAAGTTTCCCACTTTTCTTGCTTTAAAATTTTGTTAAATAAATCGCCCGAAGAAATTGTTTAAATTAACCTAGAGCTAATTCCTTAATTAATGAATGCAATTAATAATTGGAATTGGCATTGTGGGATTTTTCTTGGGTCCCACATGTCGTAATATATTAACAGGTTTTTTAGTAGAATTCTTAGAGCCCTATAAATAATTTTAACCATTTAAAATTCATAAACCGCAATAAAGTATGACAGGAAAATCCTTTTTTTTCTTTTCCTCCTTTTTCCCTCTTGTTGGGCCATCGGCCCAACCTCTCCCCGCGCCGCCCTCCTTGCTGGGCCGGCCTAAGCCTCCCCCTCCTCTCTAGGACACCGACAGGTGGGGCCCACCTGTCGGTCGTCCCTAACCTCCCACCGCCCACGCCTCGGCAGCAATCGCCGCTGCCGTCCACGCTGCTGCTCCGCGCCCCGCGCTCACGCCCACGTCGCCGCCCACCTCTTCCACCTCTCCCGCTCTCGCATGCGCCCGAAAATGGATGGGATTCGATTTCGAATCCCACCCCCCTCTCTCTTTCCTCCCCCACGTTACCGGCCAAATAGGGGGCCACCCCGGCTGTTTCCGCCCCTCCCGCGCCCATCAAATCACTCCCCCAAGCCTCCTCTCCCGTTTCTCTCACTCGCCACGCCCTCCCATGCTTCTTACACCGTCGCGCCGTCACACCA